ATGATTCTATGATTCTATGCTGGGCTGTAACTTGCGTTAAAAACGCGGCTTTCCCTTGCTACGCCTGCTCACACCGAAATGATGGTGACACGCGAGGAAAGCATTTTCGTGTGGCTGCCACGATGGCTGCAAATGTCCCATATTGCTGTGAGCAGCGGAGAGCAGTTGTCCTGTGTGATCTAGTTACATCCCTATAATATATACAGGCGTGTGTGTGTGTGTGTGTATATATAGATATATTTACTTTTAAAACACACAGTTCAGGTCAGGCCATAACTAACTTTCAGCCATTGCTTCCCCTGTGGTGCCGTGGGAGGACAGGGTCAGCAGGGGTGGTGGCTGTTCACTTGGGAAGGCCCCGGCCCGCTCGCCGTGGGGGTGGCGGGGGTGCAAGGCTTGGGGATGGGGCTCTTGGGGGGCACCGAGGGCTGTTGGGGAGTACCAGGGCCTGGTGGGAATGAATGGTTTTCTCTGCAGCCTGAAGTCTTTAAAAGTACTGGAGCGTTGGAAAGCACAGGAAGAATGGCTCTAAAAATGTGACTTGCTGTTGAACAGATGGCTGGAGGACTAAGAAGTCAGTAAGACAGATGTAAATATTCCTTCATGAGAGAAAAATGCTACTTGCAAAAAAAAAAAGTGAAACTTTCATTCATTCAGCAGATGTAAGCGTTCCCAGTGTGCTCATGCTCCACTCGTACATCTCAGTTTGTGGGGAGGAGTGCGATTTCCAGCTCTGAAGGGTGAAATGTGTGTGTTGATCTCCTGCATCCGTAACTCCTTGTTGCCTGATTTGTCCCTAAATATCTGATAGCTTTTTGTCTGAAGCCCAGCACAGAGCAATTGCTAGGTAGATGTGTGTAGATGAGGTAGTCCTAGAGCTGAGATCCTCATGTGAGGACATGATGAAAAGCACAGCTTTTTTGGTAGAAGGGAGTTTCACTGGATAGTTCTGCTAATATTTTTTTAGATCTTAGTTGTGGCAGTAACCTCAAGTAGTTCCGTATACAGTATGTTTACATCCACTGAAATGCTTTTCTTACTGTTGTGTTTCTGATCACTTTTCATCTTTGGATGGCTTTGTGTTTATTTTTCTCCTCAGAACCAGTAGAAGAGTCTCTGCTGGAAAAATATGGGTTCCCTGAAGCTGGAACAGAGACCAGATGTTACACAAATCATGCACTGTCATATGACCAGGCAAAACGGGTGCCTAGATGGGTGATTGAACATATTTCAAAGCAGAAGATGCTGGGTATGTAGGTATTTATTTACTTCCATTTATGATGTCCAGAATGGACTTTGCTGTTCACAGAAGTTGGACCCAAAAGCAGGCAGGGAGAAAAGTCCTATAGCGATCGTTATATGTGGATTTTCCATCCATCAACAATCCCAGTGGAGGCAGTAGGCCTCTGAGTGGTTGTCAGCTTCGTGACAATGTTAAGGCTGATGTTGCCAGTGATTTAAAAGAGAGATGTCACTGCAGGTTGGCAGGGCTCTTCAGTATTCTTTCTCTTGTTGGGACTAGTATGGTATTAAACGTACAGTGTCCTGAAACCTGCAAGATCTGCTTGGCCCAAGGGCTGAGTATGAAGGAGAAGAATGAAGAAGAGCTAGAGCTACCTTCCATGAGAAATTTCTGTTACAAATTTATGAAACAGTCTGTAAGCACCAGATCAATATAGCTGTGTCAGTGTAAACACTCTAAGTCATGTTGCAGGGGGAAGCTTAAGTTACTTCTTTTAAACATGAATGGAGAGAAGATGAAACACTGAAAATTAAACTTTCCTTACCTAATTCACACCTGCAAAGTTTAGTGTTATTGCTCAAGTGCATAAGAATTGCTCTTGCTTCCTTAGCTAGTGTAGTTAGTTCTCTGGTCCAATTTATGTCAGTTTAGGTACTGCTCTGTATTTGTGAATGCTTGTGGAATCAGTGCCTTTAGTGGCCAGACTGTTTCATCTAGAGATCTTAAAGAGATTTGCTCAGAATGGGAAGAAAAGATGAGTGTCTGTTTGTGAGATAAAAATGGAGCACAGGGCGTCAACAGATGCAATTGTTCAAAGCTAGATAGGGCATTACCTACTCACTGCAACCATTATTTACTTTGATGCAGTTCTGTTGTATTTTCTGATGTGCATTATCTAATACTCTCCCCCCTGTTCTTTATGCAAGACAGAGGCTCAGTGATTTTTTGCTGTCAGTGGTGAATGAAATATGAGCAGTAATCAGTCATTGTAAATTAAGTTTATAGCATTAGTTCAGTTTTTATAAGGCAAATTATTAGTAATGGAGTTAACTGTATAATTGTAAAATGCTTTATGAACACAATAGTCCTCTAAATATATCTTAATCACTGTCTTCAAATTACCTTTCAAAATTAAAAGCGTGATCCTGAAAATATTTATAACCAACCCCTAAGTAGCATCATTGATTTCACTTCTTTCTGAGAAGAAAGCATTAATTCCAGGCTTACTTTCAAGTGGGCCTTAACAGCCAAATTGTAAAAATGTTTTCCAAACGATCAGATAGAACTAACCTGCAAATTGAAATTAAGCATCTGGAGGCATCTAGCTCTGATTTATGTCTGATAGCTATTCTAACTGAGATTTGAGGAGGAACTTTGTTGTTCAGGGAAGGTCACAAAAAACTTCCACGTCCTGGAGTTTTGAAAGGATGTGATGTAAAAAAATGTATTTTATTGATAAGTAAGAACATAAATGTTTAAAAAAGATAGTGGAAAGAAATTAGCTTTACATGTAAATGAGATGTACAAAACCGGTTACAGAAGAAATTAGCCATTTTATCAAAGCAGTGAACAGAAAATAAATGAGGATATATTTTTCCATTTTTCAAGTTTAATAGATAAATTACACTTTGTCTTAAATACTGAGATTAAATACGATTTTCTTAAAATAAGAATTGTTTTGCACACTGATAAACTCATCAGTGTTGCTTCCTAAGCACCAATTCTGTGTTAAAGTATCATGTCACATGCTTTAGGAAGAAAGAAAAGAGAAGCACCTTCCTTCTACCTGCATTGCATAAAGGTGCTCTGACCACCTCTCTGTTTTGACATCATTTCTGTGGACCTATGCACGGATGGTCAGCAAAGAAGAGGAAATTGTTTGCAGACACTGGTTTCCAAGCGATGTGTTATCCATATGCATGCTCATTTTCCACCCCTTCCCTTCTTCCTTGTGATCCTTGCATATTCTTGGGTTCTTCAGAGAGCTGCCACGTGGAGAGCGTGTACCACGCTTTGTTCTCAGTACGGAGGACAAGGAAGCGTAGGGTGCCTATGTGGTCAATGATAATATTGATGTGACAAATAAAACGGAGTGCGTGCAGTTGGTGTGTGTATGCACAGTCAGCTATAGAAGAAAGAATAATTTTAACAACTAGCAGTCATCTCTGTTGAAAATTGCCTGTCACGTTTTATTGCAACAGGTAGTGCTTTATAAATGCCAAGTTTTAGGAAAATTCTGGTGTGTACAGACCTGATTCATGCTTAAATGAGAAGAAACTATGTAATGGTCCTGTATATTGCATCTGTCAAATTATGCTTAAGATGACACTCTAAATTTTCTAAAGAAAAAAAAATCAATATGCTACAGATACTTTGAATTATATTGTCATTTGGGAAAAAAAATTGTGGACAACAGTGATATCGCTCTAAGCCAGTTATTTTCCAGCTGCACACTGTGCCGCTGGCTGTGTGGAGCCGTTGCACAGGCACAGCTGAGTCAGCACTTGTGCGTGCCTCCGCTGCTTCTCTGGAGCACCTTCCTTAACTGTGGAGGTTCTTGGGTCCCAGGCCATTTCCTAAGAAAGACGGTGTCTTGTTGGAAGTGGTCAGTGCCAGAATAATTCATGCAAGTCTCTTCTGGCCATCACTTTTCCAAGGAAGCAGTCAGTGTTTGAGATGAAGTGGTCTCAAAGTTGCAGCCCGCTCAAGGTGATTTCTTTTCCAAGGAATTGATGAGGACTTTACACAGTGCAAGGACACAAATACAGATGTATGGCCAGTAAACCTGGGAAGAAGGCACAGGCTCCCCAGCAAAGACAGCAGCTTAGAATGGGCTGCCATCTCTGCAACAGTTAGTTTAGTTCCCCCCAAAATGTTTTTGTCTACTGGAAGACTTTAGGCCTAGTCATTTTTGTGCCCAGTTCCCAAATGTGTGGAAGGGCGGAAAGGGGACCTTGGGAAGGAACAGGAAAACTCTACACTTACTTTTGTGCCCATGAAGAGCAAATGACTTAAAACTTTCTCTTGAATGGGTTTATTATTTTACCGAGTGTAAATTTATCAAGATACACACATTCTACTTCCAGGCTAGCCTTGGAAAAAGAAGAAATACTTGTAATGGATAAAACATAAAAATGGAGTTACCGCCGATGAAGATCTGTATGTCTTCAGTGTCTTAAAAAGTAAATCTGTACTGGTTTACATCTTTAGCAATCTTGCCTTTAATATTAACCTTCATTTATGATAAAGCTAAAGCATTTTGCTTTTGTTTTTTCTCTATAGAACAGTGAGCACATTAGAATTTCTAGTGTATAGTGGGGAAGAATTTAGAATTGGAGCACAGATATTTAAGCAGAATTAGTCTTTTTTATGGTTGAGGAGAAAAATACTCAATTTAGAATAATGTTTTGAATCCTTAAGCAGGGGACTTTTGGCAAGATATGGCAGAACCAGTTCTTTTTATCTTGTTACGATGATTTAATGATAAACTAACAATTTAGTGTGTTATTCCTTAGGCAATGCAGACCGAAGGCACTGTAAATTCAGACCAGATCCTAACATCCCTCTAATGTTTAGTGCTGTCAATGAAGACTACCTTGGGAGCGGATGGTCAAGAGGACACATGGCACCAGCGGGAGATAACAAATTTTCAACAGTAGGATTTTTTTTTTTCTTTTAATTTCTGTTTATCAGATGGAAAGGGTCAAAAGACCCTTAAGAGTAATGTGTAATGTTCCTTTTGCAGTTGGTTTTGAGATGGAACATGATCTCATTATTGATGCACAGACCTGGACTTGGAGTTACAAGGTCTATTCCTGACTGAGCACTGTAGGATGCTCTCACAGTCTGCTTCAGGCATCTAAATCAGGTGCATCCTCTGGTGACATACCTCTCTCATTAAATCACACCTAGATTAGCTTATTTGGCAGATGATGTGAGTATATCTTGTACAGTATAGTGCTAAGCAAGTCTTCTCAACCTCTTGTATGTCACGTTGTCTGTCTGTAAAATGAAGATGATAACTTTCACCAAACAAACTTCGAAAGTGTCTTCTGAAGCTCGGTTAAAGGGAGACAGGAAACGATGACTTCATTCTGGCCAACAGGTGCTGAGATGTTTAAGGCTAGATTGGGCAAAGCAAAGATGCTGTTAAGTACTGTTCTGTATTGGCAAGGGGATTGCCTGGGTGATTTAAAAGGCTTTCTCCTTTCTGGCAATGTGTATGAGGTAAATTAGACCCTTCTCTTGTCGTAGTTCTTTCAGTCTATAAAATGCCTTCACCTGCCATTTATTTGAGCTGTAAGAAAAGCATGCCCTAATGCCTTGGCTGACTTAACAGAGCAGCCTTGGATTTATTGGATCCTCTTTCGAAATGTGCCTAATGCAGCAATTTGTCAATTAAGAAGCAGTTTGAATTGGTATTTCTGCCAGGCAGAGTAGTATGCAGTGGGGCAGAGTGAGCACAGTGGCACGTGGTGGGTGAAAGAACCAGTCATTTTATTTCTACTGGAAGTGTGGTTATTTATTTTTGATATCTGGGAAGTTTTTGCTGGTGAGCTACCTGTGCAGAATGATCCTGGACCTGGCTTGAAATGCAGTGAGATGATACAATCTTTCAAATACAGGATTATAAAAATTTAATTTCACAGTTTAATTAGTGCAGGTAGTCTTTGCTCATTATCCTAAGGAGTTCTGTCAGCCCCTTCACTTTGAAGAATTAGTATATGAAAAATACTGACAAGTACCGGACATATGAAGATTCTGAGTTAAGATCTTGGAAATTTTTTTCTCCTGTATTTCCCTGCATATGCGTAGTTTTTTAGCACCAGATCCTTCGTCTGGAGATATGTAGGCTTCTGTTCAGAGAGGTTTATGACACTCTTTAAAGATAAAATTAAGCAGATATGTAGACGTTTGACCATTATGGTCTCATAAATAATTTCATTGCCTTCATGTTATGTATTTGTAAATACTGTTGAATATTTTTAATAAAACCTTTTCTTGTATGGGGAAAGAAAAAGTTAGCCATTAGGCGTGGATGAAGGGATCCTTAGCGTTCAAAAAGAAGAGTAGCTAGCTGCTTCCAAAGACATTAGAAAACAGACACTGGGTGACATAGTAATTCCTGTGCCTCTAGAACTGGACATTCTTGTGCTATGTTTTTATCCCAAAAAAAAAAAAGTAGAGACACTTTGCAAGGCTTGCACCTCAGTTATGCACCTCTTAATCCAAAATAGTTTTGTGGATGTTCTGACTTAGGTTTTATCTAACCTTTTATGTTGATAATGTTAAGACTAAATGAGAAATGGATTCTGATCCAAAAACTTCTAAAATGTGTTTTCAGCTTGTAGATGTTTAAATGAAGTTACATTATTTTCCTTCTCTATGCAGAGAGCTATGGCCGAAACATTTTATCTGTCTAACATCGTGCCTCAGAATTATGAAAATAATGCTGGATTTTGGAACAGGTGAGAAATTACTTGTAAGTAAACTAAGTGAAAAATATCAGGCAGTGGCATAAATAAAAAATGCATTCAGGTATTCTAGAGCACTTTATAGGCTATCTATAGAGATACAGGAACTTTCTCTGAAATGAAAGGCAGCTCAGTCCTCAGAGTGCAAGAACAGCATGACGACTACTTTAGTTCTTTATTCAGTCAAACTGTGGAGGACGTTTATTTAGAATAGAAAAAATTACTTCTTCTGGCTGATGTGGGCAAAGGTACCAGGCTTAACATCTCTGTCCTCCAGGAAAATTCAGTAGAAGCAAGGAAAGGGTTTAGATCTTGCTTTAACATCTCTTCCTCAAAAAAGCACTTCCAGTGTGAGAGTATTCACATCTCTGTAGGTGGATGTTGGTTCACTTTGAGTTGGAGAACTGAGTGCTCCCTGCTGAGTTGTGACTACTTCAGGTCTTAGGTGTTTCTTCGAGTGCTGGCTTCCAAGTAGCAGTCGGGCGGGTTCTTTATCACTTGTGAGCACTGACTGGATTGGCTTTGAGGTGAAGTGAGTGGTTGATAAATTTAAACTTTCTTCATTTAGGATTTTTATTCTTTCCTTCCTTTGAGCAGAGAAAAACCTTAATAAAGGTAGCATTCATCCAGTGCTTCTTGCATAGGACTTAGAGTGTCAAGACTCAGAAGCAGGAGGAGAAAATGATAAATTTCACAAGGTTCGCTCATGGGAAGGTTAGCAAAATTATGTACAGTATTGTACTAGAAGTCTGTCAAAAATGCATCATCATTCAACTACACAGTGCTTTCTAGTTTTACAAGAATGCATATAAAATCATATGAGGCATTCAGTAAGGTTATACTGTTTTATAGACAAATAAAATGCTATAACATTTTAAGAGATTTTTTTTTTGTACTGTTTTAATACCTCAAGTATTTGAGTATAAAATTTCCTTGTACCAAAGCTAGGCATTTGTACCAATTCAAGGAAATCATGGGGAGTGCTTGAAAATTTTCCCTGGCACTATCAACCTGCAATTCAAGCAGCTATTATCACTTTCTCCCAACCCCAGCACCCTATCTCCACAGTTTAAATGCATAGTATTTGTGCTGTTTGTTTTGTCAGTCAGTTGTTCAATGACAGTTTGAAGGATACCACGTTTCACATGTGTTGTATCCCTTCCTGGCTTCGGTACTCTCTTCCTTTCTCTTTTATTAATTGCTTGCTTCTTGAATTGTCTTCTGAGGTGCAGGTAAACAATATAACTTAGTCAGTTTAACAATCTCTTGTTTTTTAAAGTGGTGTTCACCCTCGAGCCATGTGTTTTTGCTGCTTTCCCAGTTCCAGCTCTGGTACTAGCCTGACTGTGATGAAGTCAATTCCATTTGCTAACCCAGTTAAGCTGATTCACATTTTGTTTTGTTTGGTTATGTTTCTGCCAGATTAGAAAATTGGATCAACTGGTGAGATGAGTGCCAGAGCCAACACGGAAGATGGATTAGGACTGTTCAGCTGGGGCAAACAAGGGGAGCAGTAGGAAAAGGGAGAGCAGGGCTACATCTTTTCAGCAATCTGTTAGATAGTAAGCTATTAGACTAGTTCAGTGGTGTGGTCTAACTGCACCTTAGTATTTATTCCTCATTCTCTTCCCACCCATATGCATGCTTCTTTCTTTCCTGATGTTTAACTGTCATTTTCTATCTTGTTTTGAGTGCAGTTTTGTGGTCACTGTTATCTGATCTCTGTCCTTGTTGCCACCAAAAGCAGTTTGCTCCCTAGCTGCTTTTATTTGTATTCTTTCCTTGTGCCACGTGGTGTTTTTATTGCTATACTGTGAGACAACCTGAGGAGCTGAGCTGCTTGGAACCAAAGCTGACAACAGCAGGAAAAAAACCTAGCTTGTGGTCAATGCTTTGGCGTATCATGTGGCAGCACACTATTACCAAAGAAGAAAAGGCTCATTTCTGCTAATTCTGATTGCTGTGAGCTGATTTAGCTCACTAAACCAGCACCAAAAAAAAAGACTGGTTTTGTACAGGGTTATTGACAGATGAAGAATGCTAAAGGTGACCCAAGGGTGAAGTACGAGGAACAGGGATGAGACAGAGAAGGAGGAGAAACCTCCCCCTTTCAGAGGCAGCCAGATTAACTGGGTTTACCTGTCTCATGTTCTGGTCTGTTTGTCCACTTGAGTGAAGTGCAGCTCTGTCTTTAGTAAAGGAGCAATGGGTGCTCACTGTATGTGATTCCTGTAACGTTTGAGGTGTTAGATCAAAGATAGGCCATAATATTTTGTTTTATGTAAAATAGGCATGATCTAAAAACCTTCTTATTGGGAGAGCTGTTTTATGCTGTAAACTGAGTCAGTTAGTTTAAAAAGCAAAAATAATGCTAGTATTTCCAGAGTTACTACTTTATTTTTTAACAGTTTTACATAAAAAATAAGTAGATTTAGTGGGAACAGCATGTAGAAACTTTCCAAAGTACTTTGAGCTACAGAAAGAGCTGTTTGTTGCAGGACATTGATTCCTTGGGGAACAACATACAAATCCAGTAATGTGGTAAAACCTTTTGAAGTAAGAACACCACAACCTGCTGTTTAACACAAGTATTTTACTAATCCCAAGTGACCATCAACAGTATCTTTCTAGTGTCAAGTGTGGGAGTAAGTAGCGAATTTCGATTTTCAGGACAGGTGGTAAGGCTACAAAAACCATTTTCAAATGTGTGTGATAACACATGCCTATCTGTAAATAAGTGAACCTGGGACAAGTGGGAAGTATGCCTTGGGCCTGCGTTTTACCTTCTTTGGCTTGTGAGTCAGTCATATGAGCTTGGAAAAATGCTCCCAAACTGTCAGTAGTTCATCTTGCCTTTCACAGTATGTTTCAAAGATTATTATGTTAAGTTTTCCCAGCTGACTTTACCCTGTCTGACAAATATGTTCCAGAATGGAGATGTATTGTCGGGAATTGACGGAGAGATTTGAGGATGTTTGGGTAGTTTCTGGACCTCTGACCTTACCTCAGATAAATGACAATGGAAAGAAGAGTGTTACTTATCAGGTATGTATGTATGTTGCTGGGTTAGCAGTGCAGTGGTATTTATTTATTTACTTAAAATTGATATTGTAGCTTGATAAAACAAAGTTAAACATCCTAGTACATGCTAAAATCGCAATACTGGTTGGGACAAGTTCAGTAGAGATGTTATATCTTGCATACACATGAAAAAGTATAATTTTAAAGTAATTTTTTTTTATTTACAAAGAGAGGTCTATTAAGTGGATGTTCACAGTCTGCAGTAAAACTGTTTTTTGACTTCTCTAATACACGACAGTATCTAAGCGGAGAGTTGGTGGGTTTTGCTGATGTGTAGGCAACTATTCAATCATTTATTGATGTATTTTGGAAACAGTGCAATACAAAGGTAGTGTAGATTTCCCAAAACTATATAGACTATTGGAATGGCTGTGCTCCTTTGATTTCAGAAACAGTTGTTTGCTGATATCCCATATGCATCATTTAGATGAGACCTTGCAGCTGAGATTCTGAGCATACCAAAGTCAATTGAAAGACTTCAAGTTCAGTAGGTTTTAGGGAAATGCAGTGTAATCACTGGTCAGTGGTACTGACAGTCCCCTTCTTTTGGTCCACCATTTTTATTACCTGCTTAAAATACTCTAAAGATTTAGGATTGATCATGCACAGTCTCTGGAAACTGTCATTGATACACAGTCAGATAGGAAAGGCAATCAAGTTGAGGTGAATTTATTATTGCTTACCTGACTTACTCTTTGTAAGCACGTGTTCAGACATCTGTAGGATCTGAGCATAGTAAGGTATTCAAGGGAGGGTGTATTACCTTCTGCCCCTACTGTAAGGAGATATTATTGCTGTTTTCGGTTGCTAGATGAAAGCTAGCATAATGCAAATAATAAATACTGTATTTTGCACCTCTTGAAGAAACACTTTTCCTTGAAAATAAGTACTCAGAACAGCTGTGGCTTCAGCTCATGAGTAATTCAGCTGTCCACCTAGTTCTCTGAGGAGCAATGAATGAGTTTGCTGTAACGAGCCCCTGTTTCAGAGGGGTATGAGAGACACAAGAGAGAGAAATGTTCAGCTTTCAAAACTGGCTTGTTTAGTGGTAAGATTTAGGCATTATTTCTTCATTATAAATACACAGCTGATTTCCGTTTGATTGAACTTGGAACTCGGTCATGATAGGATGTAATTTTTCCTGGTTGCTTTTACCTTTTTACTTCCTTAAAAACTGTCCCTTATGTCCCCACCCTCAGATGTCTGTAACTTTGACTGTGGTGAAATCACAGCTTTGGGTTTGAGTTTGTTGGTTTTTTTCCAGACAGTCATATGTTATGCATATGAAAATACAGTAATAATAATTTATCTTTTTCATGTTCAGCGGCAGTTCCAAGCTTCAGCTCTAACCACATCTTTGTGAGGAAGGTGACAACTGTGTTCATTTTCAAGTGGATAAATAAGCTGTGATTAAGAGATATGACCAATGCCACATGATAAGTTCATGGCAAAGCCAGCTTTAGACTGGCAATGGTTCCTTGCCACCCAAAGGGAGAGTGCTGACTTCGCTATTGCCTATTGTACTTTCCAGTCTTTTCCTTTGTCTGCCGGCGTTGATGAATGTCAGATCCTTCCACAAGATGCTTAATTACCCAATGCAATAGAAAACCATCCATACTGGACTCTTTATTTGCTTACTGGGCTTATTTTCTACTGCTGTAGAAAGGTAGAGCAGCACACAGAGGAGTCCAGCGCTTACTGGTGGCAGCATGAGATGTGTCCAAAAGCACATAGCTGGGAGCAGGAGGGAGGTATTCCCTTTCAACAGTCTGAAGCTGAGAATTTGGCTTACTGGCATGCAGAATGGTACCCTAAGAGTTCTCCTGGCTTGCACATAGCTTGCTGCAATTTGCTTCCTTGTAGCTGTTGGGATAATGCATTTATTTTTTTATCCCGAAAAATGCATATTTGTCTTACATAGCAAAGAATTAAAAATCCTGAGCTGACTTGAACATTTTATAACTGGAAATGATGTTCCAGGAAGCAGTTGAATCATCGATCAAATGCATCTGTCAACTACTTCACTTTAATCTTGGTCATCTTCTTCTAGTTTTTCTCTAGAGAAAGTGTTTACTTAGTGGAGAAAGATTACATTTTCTGAAAAATTATTGTGGCTCTCCATTTTGTTTTTTGAAATGTAAAATTTAGTATTCCACAGGTAAAAATAAGAGAAGGCACTGCATCTTACTGCCTTTATTCAAAATAACTTGATACCAGGATATGGTGATGGAATAATAGTGGCACAAAATGTCCATGCTGCTTTGATTATCATATCGTTCTGTTCTTATCTGTTGCCAAGATGTCTTCAGCATCTTTGGTTTCGATAACAACTATGGTCTTTCATGAATGTTTTATCAGTTTTGGTCTTAATAGAAACTATGAAGTGAAGTTCAGTGTGAGATTGAAAACGGTGGAGTGATGGTATTTGTGTTTTCATTTCACCATTTGGTCACATTCATAAATCCTTTAGTCAGCTTCCTACGGTGAGATTCATTATGTAAATTATTTGTATTTAAGCTGTATTTAAGTACAGATAATGCTGTCTATAGGTGGGAAAAATAAAATGCTGGTTTGGGGTGGTTGTTTTAAATACTAAATTATTTGAATTGAGTCCTTTTTGGCTGCACTCCTAAGTGTAAATAAATACAAGCTGAGAATTATTTTGAAGTCTCTTTATGACATAAGTTCTTGTGCTTGCCATTGAAATTGTCCTTTGGGGAGAGAGACTTCAGAGTGGAGTAGAGTGGTGTTTTGGGTGGTTTTGTGTTTTTTTCCTTCTGACATCAACACATACGTTTAGAGGGAACACAACCTGTCAAACCACTGGAGAGAAGTTCTTTTCAAACAGATACCTTGGGTATAATTGCAGTCATTGCCATTGATTCTGCCCCTAAACCAACAACACTAAGTGTTGGCAGCTTAAGAGAAGGGAAGGTACTTCTTAGCTGTCTTTCAGAGTGAAGTCTGCTAGGTTTGAACAAGTGACCTAGAAATGAAAGGCTTTTAGTCCTCATTGTTTGGACTTACGAAGCTGATGTGAGAAGGTGTCCTTTTTCTTTGTATGTGCTGTTTAAGGAGAAATGCTGTAGTATACACAATACTGCTAAAACTCACAACCTGTAATCTGGCAATGGGACTGTTAAGGCTGAGCTCCTTCCTAATGTTTTTCTTCTCTGAGACTAGAACTGTGGAAAGAAGGAAACACAGAAGTACTACAATGAATATGTCTGCATTGATTTGTTTCAGATCCTCTCTTCAATCTTAGTTTCATTGTTTTTGGCTAAAGGAGTGGTGAAATACGTATCCATGGCTTTACAGGCTGGTGTTTTTCTCATCAGACATCCAAAAAGGTTATTTTTAGATCACTATAGAGGAAAAACAGAGCATCGGTCATGGCATTGTTCCCAGTTCCTGCTTGGACTCTGGTACCATTTGCTGTTTAATTCCAGAAAGGGAATTAACCTTGAACTCCTTAGATGCCACCGTTGTTCTATCTATTGGCTGAACTTGCTGTATCCTCAGATATGTTCTGTCATTTCATCTGTCTCCAGCGGAGGCTTTTATTGCAAAGAGATTGATGACCACGCTTGGTATCTGAAAAACATATTTTGAGAATATATGTAAAATAGAATGCCAAGAGGAAAAATCTGTTCTGTGTCATTGGGGAGGCAGATGCAAGTTTTTCATCTTTGTCCAGATCAAATCAAAATGACATTGTCTTGTTTTATACATTACTGTTCTCCAGTGACTGTCACTTTAGTGATTTTCCTCTGTCAGCAGATTTGGAGTTTGAAGTGCAAATTTTACAATAACTCTACTGCGTCGTGCTCAGTGCTCTACCCTTCTTATTCCCAATGCCGTCATAGTAAATACTAATTTAAGAGGAATTGGCTATGGTTGGGGAATGGAAGTACAGTTTAGGTAAAATTTTGTTTGTTGTTTGAAGACGACATTTTTATGTACTTTTTAGTGATATACTAGGTTCATACTGGAATCATGTCTGCTGTTTAATTTTCAAAATTCAATGACTAGGCTGGGCCAGAGGTACACAACAACTGTCTCAGAATATATACGTACTTGTCATGTGGTTCTGTGGCAAATAAGTCCCTGGGAAACAAATTGCACCTCACAAATGTAAGATGGTGCTTTATGGTTTTCCCCGGTCAAGTTTCAGAAGTAGTAGAGTTTTTCGCCTAGCCACGATACAATAGGGGAAGGAATCCTTGTTAAAGGAGGAAAAAAACCTGGAGACTAGTACTATTTGTTGGCTGTTCCGAATGGGCTTAAGCTACACAGGTAACTAATGTATCTAGGTCCGTTATACATGTCCCATGGAACTTGTGTGCAAAGGGCTACGTCTTAGATCAGCTGGTGTAAACCACTAGAGCTCTGTCAGCCCTAAATTTAGACATGATGTACAAATGAAAATAATAGACACTGGGTTAAGATTGGAGGAGAAGAGACACCAAAGGTGCAGGATAGATTTATGGGGTTGCTTTTATTTAGCACTGTACCCGTCCCGAAGGTTCTTTTATTATAGGAAGAG